TGTTAAAGATAAAGGTTGCGCGAGTGGAGCTTGGATTTGTGAGGGTGTAAAGTGGAAGCTATTAAAGATATATGATTGTTCTTCATAGTACACACTTGGAAATATTCTCTCCCATACGATAGAAACCTATATTCTCTCATCTTCAATCTTTGTTCATACTGATTCGCTTGAAATAATTTCATTTTTATCATCTTTTACATCAATAGCTTTGTTGTTGTTCATTTTATATTCTTGTATAGCTAGAATCTTGAATGTGAGTGAGAATCTTAGGATTAGATTAATTTACAGGTGAGTGTAATGTTTCATGTTGTAAAAGTATGCCAAAGAACTCTTTGAAATAAAGATTAATCTTCTATAGTTGTGTCTGTTTCATATATTTGTTCATCGAACATTGTGTGTTTCAACACAGTGGCAGATACAAAACGTTTTAGTAGGGATGGTACTAAAAAAACTTTCTGAAAAAAGTCCAAATTAGTAATGGCACTCATATTTTAAAATCGGTGCACCTAATAGAAAAAATATTAAAATAAATAAATAAATAAATAATTTACACTACGTATCGGAATCGGAGCAGTTGCCCCAGACCACATGGGCTCCACTAAGGTCTGCCACTGTTTCAACACCTCAGCAAAATGGGTTGTCGAAGGTAAAAACCAATATATATTAAATGTTGCTCGTTCATAATGTTTTCAAGAGCACTTCTCATTTTCTAGGGATAAACTATCTTGACTATTACTTGTGATAATTAGATGTTGGATTAGGATGTATAAGGTGTTAACTAAATTGATATAATTGATTGAATAATAGTAAAGTTTTTTTTGGATTGTCCTCGTAATACTTTGATTGATATTAAGAGAGAGGTAAATAATTTACTAATATATTATAAGATGAATATATTAATTAGAAATATAAGTAATTAATCTAGAATTAATCAGAATTAGTTTAATTAATTGCTCTGGATTAATTAGAATTAATTAATGGGTCTAAGAGTTATATTGCAATTGTTAAATAGTTGAATAAGGAAACATTCTAAAACTTTCGTATGAGGGGACGATTTTGGAGCCTCCCTCTAGGGATACTAGAAGGATCATTGGTTGATTACAAATGTGAATTTGAATTGCAATATTTTGAATTCAATTTAGGGTTTCTGACAACTATAAATAAGGACATCCATAAGACTTAAGAATCCATCACAACACAAAAGAAATTTCAAAATCTCCCACTCTTTCTCTTATTTTGATCCTAAGGTATTCCTAGGGTGTGGGTGTGATTCAGTGTAGGTTTCTAGACTATTGGGGCTAGCATTCAAAAAAATGGTTCTTCAAAGTACTTTTCTGTTTTTGATAATAGCAATAAGGTATGTCATCAAACCTTGTGAATTTCTATTTTGGTATGGTTATTAAGTTATTTTTTCAAAGTATTTGTGAAATTTTGCAAGTACATAGAATTAATCTAAAAAACTCATCAATGGTATCAGAGCCAGGTTTGTTTTATAATTTGCACATTTGTGAAAGTCTAAAAGAAACTAGGTAAATCAAAAATGCCTAGCCCTAGAGGGATTTTTGAAATTTCCTTGCCACCATGCGTGTTTCAAAAATTACTAGGGTTTTATCAGGGTTACTCATTTTCCATATTTGTTATTTTAAAGGCCTTAAATTTTGAACAATTAAATATACATAACTTAAAACCTAATTTTCAAAATTAAGGAACGGATTAGATTAAATAGATTAATTAATAATAGTTTAATTAAAGATAATTATTTAATTTTTAAATGATTTAATTAATTTAATTAATTGTTTAACTAAGGGATTAATATTAAATCAAGATGTTTTAAAAGATTAATTAATTAACTGTTAAGCAAGATAATTAAACCAAACCCTTGTATTTTTAAAAGTTTTAAAATATATCTTATACATATTTATAAAAGTTATAATATTATATGTATAACTAAAAGTCAGTAAAAAATCAATAGTATGTCTCATTCACGATGTAACACTATAAGAGAGGTATAAGAAAACAACATATAAAATGACTGTTAAATGGGTCTTATTTTCACCCATCGTTTCTTTGGATGGTGGAGGGTCCTTAACCGAACGAGTTTGACATGACATGATAATATTAAAAGTATACTATATAAGTGCTAGCAACTACGATAATCTCACTCTAGTTACTTAGGATAAAAACGTGAAAGTGTAAGCTTATCCTTAATAATGCACATTGGTTCTTTGTGTGCCGTTACTGGAGAAGGCATGGCTAACCAACATACTAATTAGGAACTGCAATTTTGAACAATGGCATAACTCGTGTTTAGTGTTTATGGAGTATGTATGGTTAACCGACAAGTCAATGTGAGATCATAAATGGGAACGAGGTTGTCATGTAGGTTTGCATGGTTATTCATATCTTGTTTGTAATCCTCTACATCCCAATCACAAATCGAAAAGCATAGTCTGATATTAAACATGTCACTGAACAGTTTTGTGGATCTTGAAAGATCTAGGTATTTCATAATAGATCGAAATTGGTAAAGTGTCATACATATCTTATATAAACTCATGATTAATTTAGAATTGTATTTTTGGATTCTATCCTTGAATATTTAAGGATAATCAAATAACTAAATTCTTATCTCTTATGTTAGATGGCTAGAAATGGTGATCTTTCTCTTCCTCCTCCTCTTCTTAATCCACCCACTCAGAATTTCCAAATCTTGTCAATCTTTTTAAAGAAAAGCTTATTGGTCCAAATTACATAAACAGGATGCCAAATTTTAATTTGACCTTGAGATACGAGAACAAAGAGTTAGTTCTCGAGAATCCAACCCTAGAAATAAACAAAGAAACTGCTAATCCTGAGGAACTCACTGAATATAATTAGCATGTTCATAATATCACTAAGGTCGTTTGATTAATGATTACAACCACGGCACCTGACCTTCAAAATCTCTATGAGGACTATTGGCTTTATGGGATGAACTTGTATATTGCTCAAATGTTCCACAAGAAAGCGGGAAAAGAGCGTTATTATGTTGCGAAGGCGCTTATGGCAGACAAATTGAAAAAAGGGGAATTTGTGTTTGCTCGTGTGAAAAAGATCCAGAGACACCTAGAGAGGCTAGAAAAGCTCAATGTGAACTTTTATAATGAGCTTTCCATTGACATGGTACTCAACTCATTGACCATTAGTTATGATCTGTTCATTTTAACTTATCATTTGAATAACAATGAGACCATGCTGATTGAGCTCCATAACCTATTGCAAACTTTTGAAACTGGAATGAAAAATTCTCACTCCAATAGTTATGCAAGTACCCCTGTAGTAGCTATTCAACAAGGAAAGGAAAGAAGAGAAAAGCTTGTTCCCAACCCGAGTGGAAAAGGAAAACCCATGTTGTAGAGTCAATGGTTCAAAGGGAAATGTCAACTTCAATGCTCCACTTATAAGTGATTCGAAAGAAGCAATATGCTTTCCTTGTTGCTACAAAGGGCATTTAAAGAGAAGTTGCCCGAAGTACCTGCAAGAAGTGAAAGAGGACAAGGGCAAGGTGTATGTCTCTTCATCTAGTACATACATTATTGAGATCAATAACCCTAATATTCCAAACTCTTGGATCCTTGATATGGGATGTGGTTTCCACATTTTTTCTGATACGCAGGGACTAAGGGAAAGTGAAGAAGTTTAGCATTAAAAGTTGAACCTAATAATGGGGAATAAGCAAAAGCCACCTCCTACCAAGTTTGGGACTTATGAGGTAATGTTTGACTATAGTGTTAGTGTTGATTTAAACAATTGTTGTTATTCCTCAGAACTTACAAGAAACATAATTTCATTTGATGCTTTATTTAGACAAGGTTATATCTATAGTTTTGATAATGTCAATGGTTCAATTTTAGTTTATAAAAATGATCCATTTATTTTTAAATCTTTTCCTTGTAATGGTGTGTATGAAAATACTATATGTGTGAACGAACTTGGTAATTGTGTTTATAATATTGATTCTTCCAATAATTTGGACAAAGCATGCTTATGGAATTGTCGTCTTGGACACATAAACAAGAAACGTATTGTCGAACTCCAAAAGGATGGAGTGTTGAAATTATTTGACTTAAAGTTAGATGATCAATGCGAGTATTATCTATTGAGAAACATGACTAAGTTACCTTTCACCGGTACATGTGAAAGATGTGAAGGATGGTTTGACCTAATACATACATATGTATGTGCGCCTTTCATATCTTCCACTAAAGATGCAAATTGCTACTAAGTAACGTTTACTGATGATTATAGTAGATATGGGTATATCTACCTAATCAAGCATAAATCGGAAACTTTTTAAAAGATCAAATATTTATGCACGAAGTAGAGTGTCAATTGGACAAGAAGATATTGATGCTTTGATTTGATAGAGGTAGAGAATATCTTATTATCTTAAGGAATGTGGAATAATTTCAGAATTGTCACCTCCTAGGACATCACAACTTAATGGTATGGATGAGAGGCGAAATCGTACATTTCTTGACATGGTTCATTCCATGATGAGTCAAGCTTCACTTCCTATATCATTCAGGAGGGTATGCCTTACAGACAACCACCTATATCCTTAATCTTGTTCCTACTAAGAAGGCTTCCAAAACACCTCATGAAATGTGGATGGGGAAACCTACCTCACTAGCACATATCAAAGTCTAGGGTTATGAAGTTTTTGTTAGACACGAAACTCAAGAAAACTAGAACCTAGAGCCGAGAAGTGTATTTTCATTGGTTACCACACATAAGTTATTAGGATACTTGTTCTACAGACGAAGTGAGAACGTTGTTTTCATAGCTCGAAGAGGAGTCTTTCATGATAGAGAGCTCATATCCAAAGGAGATAGTGGGAGTACAATTGATCTTGATGATCTTCAAGAGTCTCCCAATGAGGAAACCTTTTATGACTATAGGATCAATCATGTATGATATGCCATGTACTCGCCCTGATGTAGCTCTTACTTTGAGCATGGTTAGCAGATATCAGCGAAATCCTGACATGGATCATTGGAGAACGGTGAAGAATATAATTAAGTATTTGCAAAAGACAAAAGATATGATCTTAGTCTTTGGTGGAAAATATGAACTTAAAGTGAGTGGTTATAATGATGACAGCTTTCAAACAGATCTATATAACAGTTATTCTCAATTCTTCTTGGTTTTTCTATTGAATGGTGGAGAGTTATATGGATTTTACTCTTCTTGAGGTTATAGATATGAGAAATAAATGAATAATGATAAAAAAAAATAGGATGTTGATATAATAATTAGCTAATGTTTGGAGAGTTATATGGATTTTACTCTTGTTGAGGTTAAAAGATAAAGTTATATATAAATGGATTAATGTAATGATAATGCAGCAAGCTATTAAACATTGGAAAATTGAATGGATTAAAACAATTTGCAAGCTTAATAATCGAAGCTAATGAACCAATTTTGAAGATTAGCATGTTGGAATAATGATTCACAACCTACTTTCTTATCTAAACGTGGCTGTTTCATGGAAGAAAAGTGTTTTGGTTTAGACCACGGTTAGAACAAAAAAAATTCTATAATTAAAACTAAGCATACGAGTTTTGACTTGGCTTAGTTTATCAGTTTTAATTCCATATCAAGTTTTTCAAACTCCTAATGAACTTACAGTAATATCAGCGATGGGAAGCTTTATGTCCTGAAGCATAATTTTGCAACTACTTGCTCTGTCCGAATGAACCTATAAAGAAAATTTTCAAAATCACTTAAGAATGCTTATAAAGTATCTAAAAGAGTATATCACAAAGAATGAAACAATGGACATTTATTTTATTTTAGTAGTACAGTGGTAGTTAAAGTACATGCTGAATGAACTAACCGGACAACGGTTTTCTGGCTTGGGCTTTTCAGAACCTAGGTGACCTCTATCTTTGTATTTGCAAAACCAACCCTCGAGTTCAGTAATATCGATTTCAGGATCCCTAAAAGTAAGAAATTTCACCAATTTTAGTAATGAAGCTAAAGCATAATATGATACGTTTTACTTATGCCTTAGATAACTTGCGTGTTATAAGTAGTGCTTGCAATTTCCATCCAACAAACCCACTTACCATGATTGGTTTCCATGTTCAAGAGACACATCCCATAAAGTTCCAAGAGTGGCACGGGTTGTCTCCCAAATTAGGGGTTTTAAGGATCTTTGATACTCATTCCTGCTCTTTGAACTTGGATTTGGCGGTGGTGTAAGATGTAGAGGTAAAACCTGAATAAAGATGTAAACTTGGTTATATAATGTTTTACACATGACACTAGGACACATAGAAGGTATAAACAAACATAGTCTAGTAAAAGATCCAGTCACCCATCCTTTGGATCACATTCATTGGTAGTGTAACAAGATATATTATTTCTCGCAAAAGTATGTGGAAAAAAAGATAGATTTAGATGACTATAAAGAAATGAATCAAGAAAGTAGAAAAGCGACATACTTGACGTTCGAGTGCAGTTTCAAGTGCTGTCAGGATCTTTTTCATTGATGGACGTTCTTCACGGTCTCTCTTCAAACATTGATAAGCAATTGTGACAAACTCTCTCAACGAACTAGGACTTATTTCATCTTTTATATTACCAAAGATAATTCCACTTAGGTCATTCTTTTCGTAGCAATTTCTTATCAGTTCTGCTAAAGATCGATGCTCATATTTATTGGGAGTATTCAACCTCCCACACAAAAGTTCAAACAACACCACGCCAAACGAATAAATATCTGACTCCTTTGCTGGTGAGCCTGTCTCTATATATATTGGATCACAATACCCAGGCGTCCCAACAGCACCAGATATAGGAGATATGTTTTCCTGGTTAGCAACAATAAACTTAGATAGACCAAAATCTGCGACCTTAGCATTCCAGTTTTCATCTAGTAGGATGTTGCCACTTTTAATATCAAGGTGCCATACACTTTTTTGGTAATCTTGAGGATTATGAAGGTACACTAGTCCGCTAGCTGCCCCAATGCATATCTTAAGGCGTTGAACCCATCTTAGATCATTGCTGTTTATATAAAAGTCAAGACTTCTCTTAGCTGCGTACTCATACACAAGTATCTCCTCGTTGTCATCATTACAATATCCCAAAAGGTTGACAATATTACCATTCCTGTATTGAGAAAGGTTACGTTCATTTTCAAACCCACGGTTCCCTGCCTCATTTGTCGGATTTAAACGTTTTATAGCAACGGTCATGATATACCCCTCCGACTGTACTAGTTCTCCAATGTAAACTTTTGCAAATCCTCCTTCCCCGATGCATTTGTTTGTAGCAAAGTTATCGGTAGCTAATTTTATATCTCCTAGTGATATTTTGGTCCCCTCGGTATATATCTACAAAACAAGCCAAGAGACGATCTACAATTACTTTTTTTGTCTATTTGTGTAATCCTATGCTAATAAAAGAGTAGTTATTTTATCAAATGTCACAATATTAGATCTCCTAATTAATATGATGCCACTTGTCATTCTATTAATTCTCTATTTTAAATTGATTAAACCTGCTAATTAATGTGATTCTATTTGTTTAATATATATGGAAAATTATCTCCACATATTTATTTGAATTAATGATTATAATTTTACATAATTAATAAAAAAATCTTTTAATTAATAACTTATTTAAAATTTTATATAAAATAAATGATTAATAATTTTGAATTTTTACAAGTTTAATAATTTTGTAATTGTAGTTCCCACGGGTTATAAACTAATTTTCTTATAAAGCTATAAAATTAAATGAATAAACTTGCTTTAAATTGTTGAAGCTAAACATATAAACTTGTGTGAGTTATATCATATGCAAAAGTATTGATATATGTTGATTTTGATTAAATTCAATATAAAATAATTTTATTCAAAATTGCAAAATTTATCCCACTAGATTTTCATTTTCCTTGGGCATATATTGTCCAAACCTTTTAAAAAATTGTGATGATGGTTGACTTTGCTTTTAAAATAATTTTTGAGACTTTTGGCTTTTTCAAAAAGTCAAAAGTTTAAAAAGTTGTTTGGTAATTAGAAAAGATTTTTTTAAATTAACTTTTTGAGAAAAAGAAAAATGAGACTTTTAAAAAGTCACGAATCTATGAGTTTTGGTAACTTTTGGATTTTTTCTCTTTTCCCCTCAAAAGTTTAAACAAATACGTTTTAAAACTATCTTTTGGAAAAATATATGAATCAAAAAGTTCTTTTCTAAAAATGACTTTTTGGTCTCAAAAATTATCCCAAACACCCCTATATATAAATGAACATTATAATCAATGAAACATTTATTATTCTTTTCCACAATATAAATATAATAATAAATAGTTTGTTTTTTCTACCACTAAAAGCATTTGTTATGATTTTTTGTTACATAATTAAAATAACGAAATATTATAAAACACTAGTGCACACACATAGGATTCTAATAAGTAATCAGGCCCAAGGCAATATCATCTCTTCAATTGTCGATTCAAATGGAAATTCCAAAAGACACCGTCTCTCCCACATCAAACGCTGTAACATTAGTTCTTTTATTTTTCAGAATTCGCCCGCCACAAATACACAATACATTGTTCTTTCTCTTCTTAATTATGATTTTCACTTTTTTTTTTTTGTTTTTTTTTTTTTTTTTTTTTTTTTAAATAGCAGCAAACGAAAGCTAGATGATTTTCTTTCCGAATCAATCTTTTGAGAGTTAGACTCAAGAGTAAGTGCACCAATTGGCTTCTTTCTGAATGGTATTCCTCGAAAGTTTGAAGTAGAGTACCCTTTCATATTTTAAAGTTTTCATGTGTGTACATCGAATTTCTGAATCGTTGAAATTGATTTCTGAAGTATGTTTGTGATTTGTGATTTAGATTATCGGACTGAAGTGCAATTTTGTATGAATAACTGAAATAGAATTTTTTGAATAATTCGATTTCTCTATTTTCTGAACATCTGATTTCTTATTTCTGTATTGGGCTTTTTTCAACTGCTCAGAGGGATATGGATATTAACAGCCAAATATTGATGAAAAAGATAAATAAATATAAGATGTTTTAATGAAAAACATAGATGAAGGCTAGAATAAAAATAAATGAACCAGTAAAAGGAAAAAAAGGAGCGTACTTGATATGTCCGTGCATCTTCAAGATTTTTCACTACATCGTTCATTGATGGACGCTTTTCAGGGTTGCTACGCAAACATTGATAAGCAATTGCTGCAAACGCCGTCAAAGAATCTGGGTTTATTTCATCCTTCATATTAACCCAAATAATTTTATTTAGCTTGTTCTGTTTGTAGTGTTTTTGTACCAGGTGGATCAATGATTCTCCACGCCTATCATTATTCTGGATACACAACCTTCCACACAAAACCTCAAACAACACCACTCCAAAGGAGTAAACGTCTGACTTCTTTGTTAGAATCCCTGTCTCCATATAACTTGGATCACAATATCCCATCGTGCCTACAGGATTATTATAAAGAATACTTATGCTTATATTAGCCTGATGAAATCTTGATAGACCCAGATCTGCAATACTTGCACTCCAGTTTTCATCTAAAAGGATGTTAGCACTTTTAACATCCCTGTGTAATATTCTTTGATGGGTACCTGCAGGATCATGAAGGTACTCCAATCCGCGAGCCGCCCCGATGCATATTGAAAGGCGTTGAACCCAGTTTAGATCTTTGCTATCGAGATGCAAGTCGAGACTGTTGTTAAAAGCATACTCATATACTAAGATCTTCTCGTCTTTCTCGTCACAAAACCCCAAGAAAGGGACGATATTTTCATGTCTGTATTCTGAAAGCATCATGATCTCTTTCCAAAACTCGGGGTTTTGTTGCCAAGCTGTACGATCTAAACGTTTTAAAGCAACTTTGGTAGGCCCCTTCAAAAGGATAAGTTCTCCCTTATAAACTTTCCCAAGGCCTCCTTCTCCGATGCAATAGTCTTTAGCAAAGTCGTTGGTAGCTGATATTATAGCTTCTAGTGGTATTCTGAGATGTTCAAACTGCTTTGGGACAGACATTATTTTGATGATCAATGGAAAGTAAGAAATAAGAGTTAGGCTTTCAAAGAAGAATTAAGGTTGAAGTGCTTTTGTAAGAGATAAGAATCAATCCATTGTTGCGCAGCAATATATACAACTTAATCTGTTGGTCAACTCTCTCTCTCTCTCTCTCTCTCTCTCTCTCTCTCTCTCTCTCTCTCTCTCTCTCTCTCTCACACTCACACACACACACACACACACACACACACACACACACACACACACACACACACACACACACACACACACACACAATTATTGTTTATTTCCAATCTAACAAATTTCTATCTTAATACAAGTAGCATCTCTTCAACAAACCTTGTTTAATTAAAAGCATGTGCTTTTATACATTTAAATTAATTGCGCGTGATAAGGAAATTAATGACTCCGGACAAAAATGTATCCTGTAATTTCTAAGGAGTTGACTACTATACAACAACCCGACAAAAATATACCTACCCCATATTATATAATTCTACCCCTACAATTATTAATTTTTAGTTAAATAATAAAAATCTAGACATCCTATTCATATAAATATTATTCTATCTCTTAATCATTTTTTTTCTTTAATATGCACGAATAATTATTACAAAACAGTTTTCCATCAATAAATCTATAAATATAGTAATCCCCAATATAATGTTATTTTAATTTTCTAATTTTGTCCTCATACTTTTGTATATCTTTCAAAATTTACCTTTTGTTTTTTAAAATTTTATTTTAAACCTTTTACTAGTATGTTACTATAAGGTATTATTAGAAACTATGAAATGGATTTTAAATAAAAATAGTTGACAAATGAAATGGATTTGACGTGCGTCAAGCTAAAACTATTTATTTTATAATATATTTATCATATTAAATTATTTTATTTTTAGCGGTCAAATGACTATTTTATTTTTTTCTAAAATGAATAAAAACGTCAAAAAATATTAGAAATATGTTATAATATTTTAAATAACATAAATTTAATAAAATATTTTAATAAATAGAATTAAAACATAATATAATATTTTAAATTTTTTAGATTTTTTATAGTAATGTCATAAATATAAACTAATAAACAATTAAAAATATATTCAAACGTGAAATATTTTTTGTTGTTCAACAAAGATTCAAAGATTTTTTTAACTATACAAAAAGATAGAAATTTAAAGACTTTTTGGTTATACAAACAAACAAAACATCATATATTTTTTTCAAAACAAAAAGTTATATTTTTTTAAATTCACTGTTAGAAACAAGAATAAGTTTTAAAAATAAAATTATGAAATAAATACAAACAAACAAAACTTAAAAATATGCATTTAACCAAAACGTTAATCATTAAAAAAATCACTATTACTAAATTGAGGGGATTTAAAGTAGTATACTAATACTCAAACAAAATGTCAAAAAAATATAAAAGAATAAAACATCAAACAATGTTTTCAAACAAAATGTCAAAAAAAAAATCATAAAAACAAAGGTAAATAAATAAATTAAATAAAAAAACAAGATTAATAAAAAAGATAATAAGCTAGTATATTAAAAGAAAATAAAAAAAAATAATAATTATGTAATCATTAGTTATTTAAGGAAAAAAGTTAAATGCAATTATTAAGGAGTATGGTTAAATGGGAAAAGGGTATAGATAATTGCTAGCTAAAACAAGCATAGTAGAATTTCTATTTTCTTTTTTGTTTCTTTATAGAAAACATTAAAACAAGCATAGTAGAATTTGCTTTAATTAAGAACGTTGATTTGCTTGCTTGCAAAATAGCTTTATAAAAATACGTCACATATACAAAATCAAGCGGAGTAAACTAATTATAAAGGTAATAGCTGCTCTAGGGTGCAACCTATCTGCAGAAGCACTTGGTCACAGAGGTATCAAACTCGACTCCACTTTATGTGGATCATGTATCAACGGGTCGGAGACTGTTGATCATATTATAGTTGGATGTCCTTATGCTACTGAGATTCTCGATAAGATATCAAGATGGTGTGAGTTTGACAATATTAAAGTGCAAAGTGTTGGTGACCTAGTGGAATTTGCAAACAAACGGGGAAGGTGTTCCAAAAGAAGGAAGAGACTAAGTGTCATCTTCTATTGGATAATATGGACTCTATGGAAAACAAGAAATGAAAGGTTGTTTCAGAGATGCACAAGCTCTCCTTCAAAAGTGTTTGAGAATGTCAAATCAGTGGCGTATCTTTGGCTCAAAGTAAGGGATAAAAATGGAATTTGTAAGTGGGAGGATTGGAATGTTTCTCCTCTTGCATCTCTATAATTGTATTACTTTCAATAAACTGTAATGTCTTTTGGTGGCCCCTGTTTAGCTCCTTGCTTGTTGGGGTCAGTTTAATAAAAATATCGTTGTTTCAAAAGAAAAAAGTAGCAGATGCTTAAATTAACAACATTAGATGGCTCAAAAGGAATTGCCATGTTGGTTCAAATTTCAAGGACAACAGGACAGATGGGCAGGCAAAAAATTTGGATGTTTTTTTTCCACACGCCAATCTAATACACACCGATCTATATCTATTTAAAAATCTTAATTATTGACTAATAATTTCAATAATAAACTATTTAAATTATATTGTTTTTCGAAAAAGTAAATTGTTTCTTTCTCTTTTTTAATCTCTTTCTCTTATATATATATATATATATATATATATATATATATATATATATATATATATATATATATATATATATATATATATATATATATATATATATATATACTACTCCTTGTCCCAAAATTATTGTCCATTGCCAAAAATAGATATACACTTTTACCATATTACCCTAACATTTAATAAAGTAAACCTGAATAATTACAAATGCGTATTTCCCGTTGTTTTTAGAAAAGGACAAGAGGGTCATTTTACACAAAAAAGACAAAACTAATGATTGTTTTTCTTAATCTGTGTGTTTTTTTTCTGTGGACAATAATTTTGGGACGGAGGGAGTATGTTATAACTCGTGGACATCACGGATGAGAAAGATAAAAGAAAATTATAAATAAATCGTAAGGTAATGACTGAACAATAATAATAATAATAATAATAATAATAATAATAATAATAATAATATAATTATTATTATTATTGTTATTATTAATTTATAAGATTCCTGTGTGGTTTATAATGATATAATTATTAGTTCAAACTACAACGACACATTGGTTTTAATATGGGATGGTCGTTTTGTGTTTATAGATATTTTATAAAATTATAATTTTATAAAATACAATATAAATCAATAGAGTGAAAAAGAAACATAATCAATCATGAAAATAACATTATTATATGACAAATTAAAAATTAATGTAGCATAAGAAAATACATGAACACAAAAACAATTTACAAATTAAAATGATGAATGAATGGTCATTTACTAATAATAAATAAAAGATGATAAAAAGAACAAAATTATATAAATTATTTATAAATTTTAAAACTTCTTTATACAGACCATTAGATGTTTTATTTGTAAGTGTATCATCGGTATCTAATATTAACAATTTTAATTATTCTTTATTTTGAACTCTAGATAACGAGACAAATAATTGACCATGTGTGAAAAAAATGACCCTTAAGAAACAAACAACACTCATTAAGAACTATCTTTGACTCGTTTTAATTATCATTGCAGTAGATATGCTTTGAGATGATGATGATGATGTGGTAGAAATTTTTTTGGATTTTTAATTATCCGAGTATAACTTATTATTTTTTCTCCTCTTTAGCATGTGTAGAATCCATGTTTTTGTTTGATAAATAATAACAAATAATAAAATACAGGTAAAAATAATTTAATAATTTCAACTTAAGACTAACCTAGGATTGTTAGCTCCTTTAATTGGAATACACATAAATTCACAAACTGAATTAAAATCAAATAGTATATACATTGCTAGCTAGTTCCAGATTATAATCGTAATGGTTAATAATTATTTTGAAACAACTATTAATTCAACTAACATTTTATTTAAAATTAATATGTATAATGTTTTGACGATACGTAGAAGTTGATTATATATAAAATAATAAAAAAAAATTGTTGATAAATAGACTAAAAATTTGGTGATATTCATAGTATAATAATGATAACATACAACTTCAAAAATAATGACATTTTAAAATATAGTTAAGTAAGTATGACAATCAAAATTAGGTAAATACTTTGATTATCATTCAGGTAAAAAAAATTAAAAACTATTTTTATGATGGTATTAAAACTCGTATGATTGTTTTAGTTAAAATTTTGTTAACAAATTAATCTAAAAATATCGAGTTACTATAAATTATGCATTTATTTTCTACGTTACTAAAAAAACATTTATTTACCGGATAACCACCGATCAATTATCACTCATCCCCATCCCCTTTTAGCTATACCAAATTTGTAGATTTCAACTACTATTTTTTGCCCTAACATTATCCACAATATATAGAAAGTCTGCCACCACCTGCATTCTTTGCCCGACCTTTGCCCGTCTGCATTTCTCATGATGAAATAACATAAGAATATACATCCGAGAAGCAATCGTAATTGAAGACAACATTACATGGATTATAAGGTAATGTTGATGGCTCGTAACATATGTCGGGTGAAGAAATGGAGCATTGGGATATCAATACAACAATATTAAAGGTAAAAGACCATTAACTTTTCTGATTCTTGGTTATTTTAACACAAGATAAATATGTAGACATAGAATTTTACCATTTTATTTTGTAGTAATCTTGTATTTGAAGATTATAGCCAAATCAGAAGAGGTTCTTCAAGAGTGAAAAGAAACAATTGGAGAACTTTGTAATTTTTCTGTAAGTATATTTTTAAATTTTGAAAATTGAAAATACTAAATATTAGGAAAAATTATATTCAAACCGTTAATCCGATTAATATGAATAAATAAGGGATTTATTTTATTTGATATACCTTCTAAATTAATATCACGTGTTATGATATAAAGGGTGTTTTT